TCTGCGTCCTGAGCACGGCCACAGTAACATTATCAAATCAGGTGTCACCACTCAAAAACTAATGTAACGCGATCGTTCATGTCGCCACGTTTCCTTTTATGTTTTCTGTCTTTTATTCTTTTATTTGTGCCTGATGCGTTTCTTTGCTGTGGATCGGGGCGCATCACCTGTTTTGTCCTCGGTGACGCACCGATCACTGATGTGGCCGCCGAGCACTCTGCTGTTTTAGCGGTCGGTAGATCTTTTAGAACTGCAGTTCAAAGGTAACTCAAAAGGTGAATATATATGAACCCAGGTAGCAGTTTTTCTTTAGGATTGAGAGGAGATGCAGGAAGATAATAAACAGGCAGGACAGAAAAATAGTAAAATAAAAACAAGTTAGTTTTTGTACCTGCTGGTTGCAGCAAACAGACACCATTGAAGGTAATCAGAAGTGAGGAACAGAAAATGAAATAATTATTTTAATGTTTAGTGCAGCAGGAACTCTGAGAGGCTGCAGGCGCATCAGTGAGTTTGCGGCTGCTGCGCAGGGGGAGGGGGGAGATGGCTGAAGCAGAAACTACTGTTGTTAAAAGAAATGTGTTTAACTTTGAAAATGTGGGTGCAATTTTAATTGTCAAAACCTCCAGCGAACCAACCAACCCCCCCACCCCCCCGCCGCCGCTTCAGGTGTATGACGTCATCAACGACTAGTCGAAGTCGACTCGATTTTCATTACTTGACTGTCGACTTTTAAAAAAACTAAGTCATGCAGCCCCTAATAGCCGCTGAAGCACATTTCACTTTTTTATATTTTAGTTTTATTGATTATTTTTTGGGCTGCACAGCAGTGCAGTGGTTATCACTGTAGCCGTGCAGCAAGGGTTCAAATCACAGCCTGGGGTCTTTCTGCATGGAGTTTGCATGTTCTCGCTGTTCATGCGTGGGTTCTTCCTGCATACTCCGGCTTCCTCCCACAGTCCAAACACGACTGTTAGGCTTGTCGGTTTCTCCAAATTGTCTTTAGGTGTGAGTGTGTGTGTGCTTGGTTGTGTGTTCTGTGTGTCTCTGAGTTGCCCTGCGTTAAACTGGCGTCCTGTCGTGCACCCCGCCTGTTTGCCTGGAGACTGCAGGAAATAGGCACTACCCCCCCCCCCCCCCCCCCCCCCCCCCCCGACCGTATACACAAGCGGGTAGATAATGGATGGAAGGATGATTATTTTCTGCCAGAAATATTGTGTCTCTAAAGATCTTTGAATTTGGTCATTTCAAGCTGCATTTTAGTTCATTTACTCTGCTCACCTCACATTGATGCACACTGGCTAAATAAAGAAAGAAAGTAAAAAAAAATAGATTAGTCCTTGTATTTTAAACTGTTTACCGATAAAGGGCTAAAACATAAAAGTGGCAAGTGTAAGTAAAAAAAGGAGAAAACATTTTGAGAATGGGAGTCAAACCTGCGCATGACAGCGTACCAGTGACTCTAACCACTGGGCTACCAGTTGCTGCCCAACACATCTTTGCAGACAGGACACATGGCTTCTACTGCAGTGTTTTGTCCTGCAGCCCAGAAGTAAATTGTCAGAATATGCACTCTGGTACAGGTGGAGGTTTAAAGCAGACATCTGTGACATGACGGTCACGTTCTCATCTGCAGCATGACATCTACTGCTGTACTCCAGCAACTCTGAGAAAGTAGGCATTAGTGGTCTACTTCCAGCGGGCGGGCTCCACGTCAGACACTATAGCTTCAGCGGAAGGAGCTTGATGATGCACTTAGTTCCCATCGAGGCTTATGCTGGCTTGTCCTAAAAAAGCTGAAAAATGGCATCCGAGCCAAAAACAGGTTTGGGGTCATTCTCGTGAATAAGTAACAATAGCACATAGTAAAAAGCTCTAAAGTGTGGATGTAACATGATATAGCCCCTTTAAATAGACATTTACATTTTATAGTAGTTTTAAATGACAAAAGGTGTTTTTGTCTCATGAATTTTTCTCAGAATGTGAAACAACTAAACGGCTGTAAACTGGTGCCTGTGGTCTCCTTAAAACATGAACTCTGACTCTGACAGACTTTAAATGATCAGAAAAAAAATTTAAAGATATTCATAAGTAAAGTCATACGGGTGAAACTGATCACGATACAGAGTCTGCTGTGCAGACTGAAGCTCAGGGTGTCTCTCGATGCACTGATGATCTATCCTGCAGCATCACCGGTGTGTTTTGGCCTGAAGAGGAGACATAAATGTAATGTATTACTATATAAATAATTACTATTATGAGTTTTTGCATAACCTAACAGCCCAGTGTTTGGTGGTTTATTCTCTCATTTGCTCATGAAGCGTATTTGCATAAAGTGACACACTCTCTCGAAGCAAATGTGCAGCCTTACGGAGGAAAGTACAACATGTCATTACGATTTCTACGTCTGAAAGTGGGGCTGTGTCGTATCATCGACAATATTGTTGAAATAAATTGTAGTATTGTGTGTAATAAACATATTTTATGAGGGTATAAATTATATTGTCACACGTCAGTTATGTTCCATGGTGTGCACAATATTAGTTTACAGCATGTTATGTCAACAGACTCACATTCTACACAACAGTTCAAAATCACAGTAAAGGCTACTTCTTTGCACTAATGCATGCTGCTTTCTGCACGATCCAGTCACTGAAAAAAAACGTTCACTTTTTAATTTACTTGCTAAATCATAATAAATAGTTCTTTGAATTACTGTGATATTATTCTGATGCTACATTGTCATTTGTCCCATCGAAGAGTGCGTATTTTAGACTCACCACTGCTTCTCAAATTAAACTTTAAACTGAAAATAATTGAACAATCAAATGTACAAAATCTGATTTATGTCCGCTTTAATGATTCAAAGCTCTTCTTTCACAGCCAGGCCAATTGAATATTTCAGGGAGTGTGTTGGAAGTAAAAGGGTATTGATAAACAGCCTGAAATATGCTGATTGCATTCCTGTCCATAAATATTGACGAGCTTCTGGTCCCACTTGAGAGTGAGTTTCATGCCATTTCATGCCTGTTTAGTATTCTTCTCATCTGTGCTGCTCTTTTCTAAACTGGCAAAAAGGAGTGGGAATAGAGGAAAATCTGTATACTGGAAAGGTGAAGATGCAGCAGATTTCAAATTTTTCCCTGAAATTGTTTAGATTTGCGTCACCTCATTCAGAAGCTGTTATACTCTCCCCTCTAAATATGAATGCATGAACATTAGTAACATGAGCAGCTTGACATAAATGTGATGCTTAATCTGCTAAATCAACGTGCACAAAAACACAATTCAACAAAACATTAATCAGATAGAACCGACCCGTTCATAAGAACATGTCTGTGCGGGCTTTTAGTTTTTGTTTGATTTAAAAGGGATGTACTGTAGCGGTCTGCACCGCCTTTTAGCGGGGTGCACGTGTGTAGCAGCAGAGAAGAGTTGCCAGGTAGCAGACATAGAACACTTCTAATAGCCGGACGGCTCCCCTTTTCATCTCCCCACACGTACGTTTAACTCACGGCGCCAACAGGCACCGGATGAGAACAACACCGGGCTGAAACAAACAACACTAACATAATCCCAAACAATATAACCCTCAGAACACCATAAGCAGAATACCCCCCCCCCCCCCCCCCCCACCCCGAGCAATGCGGCCCTGCTGGCCTATCAGTGGCAGGGTCGCCACAATATGCAGAACTTTACTTTAGCATCCTTCTGTACTGCCTCTATAAACGCTCCAAGTGTGAAAAATATCCGTCCATCATTTTCTGTCAGTGTTTGGTTTTAGGAATTGTTGGTCTAAAAAGGCAGTTTCAAAAAGTTACCTCTGTGATGTCACAACAGGGAAATTAGAGTAGAAACACCTCTAATGTGTAAGAGAGAGCTGCAGCTGCTCTAATCTGAGTCCTTCCTGGACTTAGGAGCGTCTCCAGCCAGATTCTAACACTCGCACTTCCACCCTTCAATTGCTCGTTCCCGTCCAGGGGCGCTAGTGCGTAGGGTTTCTCGAGTCTGAAGTGTGGAAGGTGACCACGTGCACCCTTGATCCACACTTGGCTCAAGTCTGCATCGATACAGACGTTGGCCGAGGGTATTACCCACAATCCATTGCTGCATGGGAATTTTGAGAAGAAGGTGGTGCAATGGCTCAAGTTCTTTTTCTTAAACTACGTATTTTCAAGTTGAAGAAGTTAATTTTCAAATAAATAATGATATTTATTCATGCTCTGAAAGTTTTAGACTAAGGTTTGATGTGGACAGCAATGACTGTAGATTTAGTCAAAAGCTGTTTGTTTGAAAGTTAATAAAGGTTTAAAAAAAAGTTACACAAACGGGGACCGGCATCTGGGCGTGCGTGGTGGTCGATGACCCAATGCCCCGGTCCCTGTCAGCACACGTGTGCACTACGCACTCAAAGCCTTACTGCGCCCCTCCTCTAAGTGCACTACACAGAAGGACGTAGGGCTCAGTGTGAGTATTGGGATTGGTCTTCAGAGCAGCGCGAGCGGAGGTGGGGATGGATTGCTGTGGCCAGCTCATTTTGGAAGGTGCTGAAACCGTTGAGAATAAAAGAGCAGAAATCACTTTATGTGAGAGGGGTTTGTGCAAGGAGCTTCATGAACATGCCCGGTATCGACCATAGAACTATGGTAACTAATAAAAGTCATAATATGTCCCCTTTAAAAGCAAAGACTTTGCACAATTGTTCCATAGAAATTGCAGCAACAGTAAATGCACCATCCACATGAGATTCACTGCTGTATGAATCATTTTGTTCCTTTTAGTAAGAGCCATCTGTTACCTGCATTTGTAAAGTCTATCATGTTAAAACCGTTTTCTTTTTGAGGCCCACTCGTTGTTGGAAACTAACTGAAGACCAAGTTTTGCCACTAAATAAGGACATTTTCACTTGAATTTTCAGAAACTGTGTGAAAATGTATGTACCGTCCTTTAAAACCTTCAGTATTTCATGGAAGTACCCTGTAACCTGTGCATCTCTCCAGGTCACTATGGGAAAGAAAACCTGCGCGTCGGAGGCCAAGACATGCACAACTTCATCTCCTCTGGCTTCGTTACGCTCGGACGAGGCCACTTGAAAGGTTGTCCATCCTCATTATGTGTTTTTGTCCTCACAGTTCAGAATACCAATGACTTCACTCACGCAGTCACCGTGTCATGCTGTCATCCTCTTTCTGCCAAGTGACTGTGCTCAGGACCGTGCCGTTAAACAAGTGAAAGAAAGCAACTTTTGTTTGAGCTCAGTGAAAGCTGGACGTTACAGCTCTTCGTGGCTTGAAGTGACATCTTGCAAAGTTCTTACACACATTTCTAATCTATGATTAAATCCACACATCTAAAGACAAAGTAACACTTCCACACTTGGTAGGCAGCCGGTGTGAAGGCAGCATGGCACAGTTGTAAATCTTTCTGCTATTGTCCTCCTAATTTGAATGAATCAGAAGTAAACAGGAGGCCCGTTTTTGTTTCAACAGTGCAGCATTCCATAGACGACTCGGGCCAGATATCCTGGCAGGGGGACCTGGACATTCCCATGTCCTACGGTACGTTCTCCAAGTGTTCCATCCTGCATTGTACCTGATAAGGGAAGTCGTTCACACTTCACAATCCCGCAGAGCCATCAGCTGGTTCTGTGGACCAGAAGGCCTCCTCTGGTGGTGATTTGGCTGCAGATTCTGTTTGTGTGTTTCACACAGACAGGTGAGCACGGCAGGCATTAATAATTGAGTCCAGGAGGCAGAAAAAATAAATGATTGCGTGGAGGGCATTCAGCTTGTATTCATGCGAGAGAAATTCTGTTGGATTTTCCTGCTGGTCTGTTGCTCAGCATAGCAACTTTAATGGTCTGTGACTTTGACTCGTAACTGCTGGTGTTGGACGTCCTGCTGGTGTGTGGGATGTTTAGTGCTGCAGTCTGAATCAGAATTTTAATTTTATATCAGTTTAAACAGGTTCAGCCTAAGCACAGGGGTGCGTGTTTGCAGTGTTTACATCGTTAGATTTCACTTTTACACGTCTTAGATTCTGTAAGTGACTCCAGCCTGAGCCCTTTCAGATCTATCAGATCAACTTCATCACTAAGTGAGGGTTTCGAACCACAAAAGTCTCGAAACTTCCTTAAAAAGTGATTATTTCCCCAGAGCTGCTTCATTATTACTTTGTTTGCCTTTAGTTTCTTGGTGCTTATTGGGCTTCTGTAGATTTATTATAGGTGCCATGTCCCAAGAGTTATTACAGCAGGGTTAGCAGTAATGAGACGTTCACATGCATGAATCCTGGAACTTTGTGGTTTCCTTTAACAAAAATACAAAATGCCTTCAAATCAAATAAAACACATCCAGCTGCTGCTTTTTAATAAAAGCGACTTATGGATGTTACACACTCGAGCTTTAGCCGGGCCTTGTTGGAGTCTTCCTTTACGTTGTTTGTTACAGATCATTTCCACGTGGGCTTGATCAGCTGTTTATTGTTATGCTGTGTGAGGCTTTGGCGACACAATCACAATTTCTCTGTTTCTGCTTGTTTGTTTGTTTGTTTGTTTGTTTGTTTGTTTGTTTGGCCGCATTGATAAAACTGAAACTTTTGTCCAGGGTGAGTTAGAAGATCAGAAAGAATGGCATAGAGATTGTTATCGCTTTGGTTTTATGGTTCAACTCCAATCGGTGGAAAGCGAGAGCGCCGTGTGAATTTATCCTTACAAGCAGCACGTGTGTGTAATCATTGGTCGTGCAAACTTTTTACACAATCTAAAATCTGTGGTCTGCTTTGGAAAAAAACCATATTCCTGGGTTTTTAAATGATGCCATAAAACTAAATGTTCAGGTCCGTAAGGGATGCTGAATGAGCTGCAGCGTTAGAGCTTCGCTGAGGCAGAACCCGTAGAACAGCACCGCTGACATGGAACAGCTCAAAATCACGTTCAGTTAAAACGTCTTATTTTTGTGTCTTTGAACGCATTTCATGCAGGGAATTTAAAACGATGTTTTCTTTCATGGATGCTGGATATAAAAGCTGTGAGTGAAAGTTTCATAAAAGTGAATTATCAGCAGTTCCACTGACTAAAATGAGCTCTGCGGGGTTCTAGCGATCGCTTGATCGTCATGTTTAATTAGAAATGGACCAAATCACAGCTCTGTGTTGCTTCAATGTGGTGATTGTTGGATTTTCTGTTAGAAACGATAAAAAATCTTCCCTGGAACAGAACTGTACAGGCCTACTGTGATGCTTCGTTTGAACACCACATTAGTTCTCTTTATCTTCTAATTAAGCCATTTTCCTTTGAACATCACAGCTTTTTGTTTCTTCCTGCTTCTGCTCTACCTCTTAAAATGAATTGATGCTCATAATTGGCTTAAATCTCAGAAATCACTTTATTTGTGGGAACGATGGTCTTTGTTGCTGCTGCCGTTGCAATTAAAAACCATAATGATGAGTAAACCTTTAACTTCCACATCAGGAAATAAAACAATACTATATTTTCTTCTCTCTTCCCTTTTTTTTGCCTTACTATTTCATTTGGGTCAAAATTTGTTATCATTCAATGTAAATTTTTAGTAATAAAAAAAACCATAATATAAGGGATGACACTTTTCAACCTTTGTTTATTTTGTTTTCCCAGTTAAGTTTAATTCATCCTTCAAGAGAGATTAAATCATCTCAGAAAAACAGCCGACCTGCCAGAGAAACGGTAAACATATTTTTCAGTAAAAGTGTCCTTCGCAGCGTGTTAAACAGATATTCCTCCCATCGTCACGAGGATCTGTAAAGCAACCGGCTCTTCCTGGAGGTGCCTCTCGCTCCTGTATCTGGTCGGCTTGTGTTCAGTGCCCTGGTTACAGAAGCCGTCTCTTCAAAGCGGAGGTCTTGTCAGCCTCGTCTGTCGTTCTCGTCTTGGTTTAACATCCAGTTTCTGGAAGCTTCCCGACCTCCCTGAAATGCCTCCTGGCACGAGGAAGTGGAGTGACAGATGTGCACCGTGTCACCGAGGATGACATCTGACTCCACATCTGCTCCTCAAACTGCTCCTGGAAACAGACTGAGACTGTACAGGTCGTCTCCATCCACAGATCCGACTCAGATATTAGACTTTATATCAAACCTGAATTTAAGGAATTATTTCACAAGCAGACTTTTGAAAAAAGAACGCAGGCCATTCAATTGTACGCATAAACATCTGCATTCAGTAGTGTGTGTTGTTCTGTGTTTCTTATATTTATTACATGCATTTATATGTTTATTCCACAGAATCATGATCCTTTACTCCTTTAATATTTTTTTAAGTGGTTTCACTTCATAATTATTTTTTCTTGTCTTGGATTTTTCTTTTATATTATGGGATGTTAGGGTCTCTGAAAGTTTTTAAGCAAAAAAAAAAAACTAGAAAAGATGTTTGTGTTCATAATAGACTCTTATTTTGAAAGACTAAAATATTATTTGTGGATTAAGAAAGTGCCTATGAGTGTTATTAGTATTAAAATCATTTTAGTTGATACAGTAAAAGTTCACCCAGGACAGTAGAATGTGATGACAATAAATAAGATCTGGTCCAGGAGCACTGAAAGGTTTATTTTGTAAGGCTGAGCTTTATTTTGAAAAGAAACGAACTATGGCATTATTGTTTACATCATTAGCCCTGATTGCTTATTTCTTTCAGCCTCCATTCATTCATTTACACGTTCTTTTCTCTCTTCTTTTTTCCTTCTGCTCCATCCTTCTGAGTTTGTGTGACATCGTTTTCCCGTTGATTCTCTTGCTTTTAACCTTCATTTCAACATCTTTTCCCTGCCAGTTAAGCAAAGTCACATCCTTTCTTTATCTTTCCTTACATCCTCTTCCCTAATCCTCCCAGGAAGCCTGGTCCCAACATCCTTTCTGTCCTTGATCCCTCCTGCTCCACCCAGAACAACAAAATACACTTTAATAGGAAAATCTAATTTAATCTGTGTCTCAGTTCTGAACTAAACTTCGGTAGCTCCAGTTTAAAATCTGAAGTAAGCTGAAACTTTTGTGACCTGAAATTTGACTCGGAGTGAAAAGTGTGAGTGTAGCACGCGTGCTTGCGTGGGAGCATCATAGTGAAAAGAACACACCGCACACGTTTGAGCGTACGTCAGTCCCAACATGCTGGTAAACAGAGATACACAAGCAGTGTCATAATGAAACGCTCGTGTGGAGCCACGGACTCACAGCCACTGCTGCCGTTCATGCCTGAGCCTCGCTGTGGGAGTTTGTTTATGAGCTAATTACACTGCCCCCCCCCCCCCCCCCCCCAAAAAAGAGCCACCACCAAAATAAAAACTCACACACACTAATATTTCGTTGAACCGCCTTAAGCTTTATTGCGGCACACATTCCCTGTGGCATTGTTTCGATAAGCTTCTGCAGTGTGACCAGATTTATTTCCATAAATGTTTCTGACTGCTGCACGAAGTCATCTCCGGCACATCCCAAAGATTTCGGTTAGGTTTTCTTGAACAATGTTGCTGATAATTATTATTATTTTTATTCCATCGTACCAAACCAGTTTTTTTGTACAGCACGTTTACACGAGGGCTGACTACAGTGCTTTCCATAAAATACATTGCAATACAATAAAGTACAAATGGATAAAACAAACAATAAGATCAACAAATAAATATAATCACAGACATGGTCATACAACCACAGGCCACATCATAAAAGTGCATTTTAAAATGAGTTTTAAAAGAAGCAAGAGGTGGAGCCTGTCTGACCAACAGCAGAAGTGCATTCTACAACATTTGTTTTACAGTTTTTGGCATTATGTTCAGTGGAAACATGTTCTAATGCTACCTTGTAATTGTGTTTGCTTCTGCAACAGCAGCAGAAAAAGAAGCTATATTTTTGTTGACTGGTTTTAATCCAGAGGAGTCTGAATGAAGGCAACAGTCAGAATTGACAAAGCTCCTCGGATGAGAAGCGAAACATCTTGAAGAAACAAAAGAAGTCCAGTTGCCTTCCTTTGAACCTTTTTGAATGATCATGACCAGCTTATTTGGTTTTGGTGAACGTGTATGCAGCTGCTTTATAGTTGCCGTGTACGGTAACTTACGTCATCGCGTTAGTCAGTTAGTACTTTGGTTCAGGAGTGAGTGTTCATCTTTTTGTGGTGATGCTAATCAAATCTGATGAACTTCGTGATTAATAACATTTTATTTTTAAAAAGTAAATGCTTGTTGGTCGGTGAAAACGTTAAATAATCTTTTACGAGACTGTTTCTGTTTCTCAGGAGCTCCATTTAGTGTCAGCAAAGCAGCTTTTTCCCAAAAGGGGCGTGGCTATTGCACTTGCTTTAGTACCCAGAGGATTTACCACAAATGTGCAACCACAACAGGTTCACTTTTGGAGTAAAGTTGGTTCAACATGGCTGCCACAGTTAATCATGAATGTTTCCAACTCTAATCTAATCTAACGGATTATGTGCTAAAATTTCATGTGTTAGTGGTTAAGATGCATTCAGACGGCGTGCTGGCAGATTGTGCAGGATCTTGCGATGTGACACTTCACGAGTTGTCATACTGAAGAT